CTGCTCTTGGATAGCGCTGTTTCATCAGGCGCGCACAGAGGCTCTGATCCCCACAAGCATGTTCTGCCTAGCTTGAGGAGACAGAGAAAGACAAAACCAAATAATAGATCTCATACACTGATGTGATATTAGAATTTTTTTTCTTTTATTACAAAACATGTTAAGAGAACATTGAACAAGTTACATACAACATCACTTTTATCTTCAGCGGGCTTTGTGCCCTTTTATCATACTGTCCATGTGGTAGAAATGGCAAATAACTTGCAGAATGCTTAGTCTTAGTATTGCACCATTGATGCACAAATTTAGTTGCTAGTCAAAGTATTTGACCACTAACTTGATAATCACATTCCAATATTCCAAAAGTACATCTAAATGTACCAGCAAGCCAGAGACATCTTGTAAACTCAAAAACTTCTAACAAACCTGAGGATGAAATGGGTTGATCTTGTCTAACTCTTTGCTGTGACTTCCTAAATCTGTAAGAAAAATGCCAAATTAATATGCTATTAGCTTGTTAAATTTATCCTTTTTTTCTGGGAAAGATGTCCCGTTGGGAGGGCCTGAGTGATGGGGGGAAAAGACTTTATTCTACATGTAATGAAACTGGATTCCATGCCATGAACCCAAAGGAGGATTTAGCTTTATGAGTGAAGGTTGTCTACACTGAGCTCTGTGACAACACACTCTCACCTTGTTTTCTGTAGGCTCCTTACGTGGATGTAATTTGTGTAAATAGCTACTTCTCCTGGTATCACGACCCAGGCCACCTGGAAGTTATTCCACTACAACTCACAGCACAGTTTGAGAACTGGTATAAAACCTACCAAAAACCCATTATCCAGAGTGAATATGGAGCAGACTCAGTTCCTGGACTTCACAGTGTAAGTATGACAGATGCCCTAGATGGAAAAAAGCACTGCGCTTCTCACAGGGGCAGCAAAACTTCATCAGTGAGATGGGTACCATTGCGCCCGCCACCTTAGTTTTGAGATGCATTAGCTTGTGAGTGTCTGAAGGACCCAGGATTGTCATCTGCTCCACTGAAATCAATGAGCTTTCCCACTAACAAAGGTTAGATTCTACCTACAGAGGTTTTAGCTTTGACTAAAAGCATTGAGCACTCTGAAATCTGTACTTTGGCATTTGTAGAAAAAGCTTAATAGGAAGATACGACACTGGAGAGGGGACAATTATTTCACGATGCTGTCCTGCACAGAAGGGGGTGGCACTCCTATAGATTGTGATAAAGCACCGTTACCAAGCAAAACCACAGGCTCCCCCCTCCCCCAGCATATCTGGCATTATGTTTGTATTTTAGGTGTTTCCCCTTGTAATTTCAGTAGCTGCTAATTGTCACTGAACAGCCATTGTTAATGCAGTGGCAATGAAAAACCACACAATTGTAAAACTTTTCAGGAAGCAGGTCCCCAGTGAGTAGGAAGTTAACACATGGAGCCTTTGCTGAGATTAACTGTCACCTTCATTCAAGGCCTCTTTTCCCTGGCTGTAGGATCCACCTCTGATGTTCAGCGAGGAGTATCAGAAAGCTATGCTAAGAGAGTACCATTCTGTTTTTGACAAGAAGAGGAAAGAATATGTGATTGGGGAGCTCATATGGAATTTTGCTGATTTCATGACTAATCAAGGTAAGCTTATATTTATATTCTAAACTTGCCATCCTCCCTGCAAGTTTAAAATGGTTTATGACACACAGAGAATATATTGTGCTGTAGGGTAGGACAAAAGGGCCCTCTGCTTACCAAGACAGAGCATAGCTGGTGTCCGTGACAAAGTCCAGCATGACCACAGCCACGAGGGAAGGTCCTGCCTATACTCTGTGTATCCTCTCTCCCCCATTTGAGCTCCTAGATGTCCCACCTGCAAAGACGCTACCTAGAAGACAAGACAACGCGCTAGGGCAGAATGCAAGGGAAGCTTGTAAGCAGACCCAGATTACTTTATTTCTTGTCCATCCTCAATTCAGAGCTTCAGGGATGTTGTTAGGGATGTGTCTCACTTGCTTCTTATTTAATCTACAACTGCCCTTGGTACCAGAGCACCTTGAGTAAGGTATTACTAACTTGGGAGAGGTTTAGCAATAGAGGACCAGATGCCACACCGGTAGACAGCCATCTGTCGTGACACTCCATCCACTATTAAGAAGTGCATTCACAAAGTATGGGGCATTACTTAATCTACAGTGCAGACAGTCACACAGAAATGAAATTATTACAACTCAAGAGACCCAGTAAGGAACCAGTTATGCATGCCACCTGCAGCGAGTTGGGGTGGTGAACAGTTAATTTCAGGCAGAGAAATACCATTAAGAAAAATCTGTAGAGCACCAGTGTAGGTATTGGGAAACTAAATCATCCCAGAGAAGCAGTCAGAAAAGTAATCAGTTTCAAAGAGGAGGATGGAGAAAATGTAGAGAAGTTCACGTACACATCCACAGTTCCAGTCTCTCTACCATGTTGCAATCGTCTTTCCTAGTTTCCTATGAAAACTAAAATAGGCAAAAAGGATATAGACCCCACTAAAGGACAGTACATTACAAACCATTAGTAATCAATATTTTCACCATCAAATGTCAAGGTGGAACTAATGGCAGGAGTATCTGCTGCAAATATAATACTGATCAAGTTAATGGGCACACCTGAATTAACTGTCATTGACTTACCAGTCGTAAATACAATGAATTGCAGCTATATTGCTCAGTTACATCAATTAATCTTGCCAAGATGACGCAAGTTACATCTGCCAAGTTCCCCGTTGTACCTGACCATGTGTAGAAGAAAGTGCATAGGTCTCTTCCACCTGACCTGATTTAGTACGTAACAGTTCACAGTAAAGGATATAAGAGCATTTTATATATACTTGCTTTACTTTATAACTTCTCCACAGGGACCACACGTGTTTTGGGGAACAAGAAAGGAATATTTACCCGCCAACGACAGCCCAAATCAGCTGCATTTGTTCTTAGAGAAAGATACTGGAAGATTGCAAATGAATCAAGCTGTCTTCCTCCTATAATAAAATCACACACCCTCTTTCTAAAATGAAATCACACGGTATAGTGGCTGGGTACTATGCTGAACTTGTTCATTAAATTTTGTTTAAATAATACATATGTCTGACTCAAGTCTTGCAAGTCTAATGCAATTTCTAGTCCACCTGAAGTAGTTACTATGATACAAAGCAGATCAGAAACCTTACTTTCCTATGCTTAGCCATGTCTGTAGGCTTCCTGTTTCCAGGTAGTAAAATCAGTATTCAGAGTTTCAAGGAGCTGAAGTTAGAGATCCTGACTGAGGTATCTGTTTATGGCCAAAAAAAAAAAAAAAAAAAAAAAAAAGAAAAAGAAAAAAATACATTATACAAATCAATGCTGAAGGCTTAAAAAAAAAAAAAACTAAGTTACTCCTTAAATGAACATCACATCCCTCCAATGCAAATGAGGTTTTCCAGTTATACTCTCCTAACAGTTACACTACTCAGATCACACCAAATTGTCCACAGGATTACCAAAGAGCACAATTTCTATAGCTTCTCTTGCTGGACAGAATGTATGTGGCTGGCTGAGAAATTCTGAGAGTTCACAGCATTCAGGAAGTGTACAAACCACCCCTTCTGTGAGGATACCCAACATACTCCAATACAGTACGGAATTCATACCACAGCAGCAAGCTGGAGTATGTCGGAGAGGTACTACATTAACTGAACTCTGCTTCAAACATTATTGTAATCACAGTACCAGAACTGCCGCTATTAGATGCGGTTTTACCTTCCAGCACGGAAGAGCTTCCTTCATATTAACTGTCACTAGGTACTAGAGAACCAGTAGTCTAGAGGGTATGTTTGATCTAAGCCTTTGTGATACTGGCCTGAAGCATTCTGGGGTAGGGTGATGTGTAAATTAACGTGCAGACACTACTTTAGACAGTAGTGTAGTGACACCCCTTTCAGGCCACACGCTGGCCTGAGAGGACTCTAAAGGCCAGGCTTTAGACTGTACTAGATCATGCCAGTACTCACAGAAGAGCTCAGAACACTTAGTTTGCAAACTTCTTACTGCAACATGCCAGGGCTGTCCCAAGAGCAGCCTCACCCGTAGCAGAACCACAAGACTGGAGGCTGCCTACTGGATTTTGGCAGTTGGCACAATTATGTCGTTACATTATTCCAGTTCACAGATACTGTGTGAAACTGTTGCTGTGACTACTTTTTCTGGAGCTGGCTCTTCTGCTACTACCTCAAGAAAATGACCAAAACATCTGCCAATATAAAGAAAATATTTGCTCTCATGTTTTGTGGTGGCCAAATTCACTTTCCTTTAAATGAGAAACCAACACCACCTTCCACACTGCCACATGCAGAATAAGGACATAAGTTTACTGCTGACTTCCAAATAATTTTTCTTAAGTTTTTAAGGGAAAAGAAGAAACACACTACCAACATTCCTTCTGGTTATACCGTGTTAGGTATTCCACATAACTAAAACCCCAGAATATAAGAGTCTAGTAAAAAGTAAAAAGACACGTCCTCAAACGTACCCTGGCGTAAGAGTATCGCATTTAAGCCCACTACCAGTGTTTGAAAGTCGTTTCAACTTCTCAGTCTCTACCCATCACTTTTTTTAAACCATTTTCTTCCCCATTTCAACAGACATGACACACCAGCAGCTGCCACATCAAAATACAGATAAGGATTTGACATTAACTCATTACAAACCAGGGCTCAGATCCCTATAGTAACACAGAGGTTGCAGAAGAGAAAGCTGTTGCTTCCATTCAGTCCAACAAAACAGATGTAAGAGTCACAGTTCCTGCTTGTTCTGAACAGCTCAGTGCAATTGTAAACCCCAGCCGCCTTCCCAGCCCCTCCCCAGCAGCTCCCTCCCTCCCCACCAAATCCAGGAAGAGAGTTTTCACAGTTTCCAGATACTTCGTGATTTTGCTGGAGTGGAGTTAAAACAGACCTACAAAACCGAGGAAAGCAGGAAGTGATAATTTTTTTTTTTTTTACATGCTGCTTAAAGAACTGTGAACAGTTAAAGCCTCAAGTCAATGCTACTCAACCTTTACACACCCATGTGCACACAACCTTCAGCAAGACAGGATGAAGCTGCAGAAGTTCTATAAACTGGTATCTCTGGGGACCCAAGTGCTTTAACCCTTCTACTGCTAACACACAATGTCTTTGAAAAAAAAAAAAGAAACCACAACTTAGTACATTTCTAGAAACAGAATTACAGTACTGACTTTAAAAACAGTTTCTAAGGCTCAGACTGAGTCCAAAAAGGCCTCTGATTGGGTTCATTCAAGCTCTTACGTTTGGACTGCATGAATGCAGCATAAGAATGATTGCAGCAAGACGTCCACAGGTAATTTCTACATTTATTTTTTATACCAAAAAAGTTATGTGCAACAAAGAGAATTCATACATATTTACATTGTTTTACCTGTTAGCAAAATTGTATCCTAAACCTTCCACAGAGAATCTCTCAACCTATACTGATGAAAGGAACATCTGCCCAATGACTCTGTTCAAATGGATGTTTAATTTGGAGTTTAAAGCACTGGTAATAAATAGTTGATGGAACATACTATACAGAACAAGTACCTAATATTTACGCCATGCTTAATACAGTTTTATGTTAACCGAATACTTCATCATTTCTGGACCAGTTTTGTCTCGATCGTGTTTAAACAACGTTGGCAGAACCAAAGCTATTAGATCTCTTTGACTTTAGCCCAGACAAATCAGGAGCATCGAGTGCTGCCTGAAGCACCTCACCAATCTTTCTAAATAATCAAGAGTCTCTGGACAGCAGAAGACAAATGCATACTCCAGTACTCAGAAACCTCCTAATCAGAGAGATTTGTTGTCATGTTAGCTACCAGAGGTGGTAGGGAATGTTTCATTGGCCTTGGCGCTGCAAACACTGTACAGTAAGAAACTTCCAAGAACATTCATTTCCTAAACGAGACTTGAATGCTTCATTGGCCTTAAGAATCGCAAGTACCTTACAGTAAGAGGATTTCAGGAATGTTTAATTCCTAAGCAGGTTCTGGGATGAGGTTCTTCTGCCTTTCCAATCCACCCCTTCCTGCAGAACTTGAGAGCTCTGGGGGAGGAGCCCAAATTCAGAACCACTGTTTTTATATTACAACTTTTTCCCCCTCTGTTCTCATGAGTGTTGAAACCACAACCAGAATCTGTGTAATGACGCTGCCCCCCGTCCCTCTGCCAGACCCAGTATTATTTACTAGCTTTTTTTACCCGTACTCTTCTATCCTCAAGATTTCTTGGAATTTGCCTTCGGATTTGGAAGGCTGAAATTAATATCAACCACACATTTGCCACAACATTTGTTTGGGTCAGGGGCAGCAGGGGGGCAGCTGCATGAAGCACTCGTCTGATTTCCATCACATTACTCATTCTAACCTGAGCCATTTTACTGGAAGAAAGATGCTGTTTCTAGCATTGGGAGCAATGAGGAAGGAAGCAAAAAGGTCCAAATTTCTACTGCTCATGTTAATTTGCCCTTTATTCAGGCCAACTGCATTTCTGAAGCACAAGAGAGGAAGTAGAAGAGTTAGGGCCATTTCTAGCAAATCACTTCCAGTAAAAAGTAACTGCAAGGAAAGCACAAAAGACAAGAGAGTTCACAATTAAGGATCAGATTCGCAAGTTCGTGCACAAAGTGTAGCTGCAAATTCTTCCAGAGAGCAAACTCCATTTCCATTTGATCCCTATGTGCACACACACAAGGACTGCAGACACGACTGCTGAAAATCTGGCCCTAAACAATTTTACAAAACAAACTGAATCAACAGACTATGCCCACACAGACAAGCACAAGACACAGTGAAGTTAGTCAACACCTATACTTTCACCTGATGGGGCTTTTTTTCCATTTTTTTCAGTGTGCACTACACCCAGAAATTGGACCAAGTAATCATTGGTTATACTTGTCTCCGTTGCTGCTTGTTCTGAGATATTAGCACTGCGACTAACCATTCCAGGCAGCACGTGTTCACCTCTTCCTTGGATGAAAAGATGCCTTAGTGTAGATCACAGGAATGCATTGAAATAAACCTATACAACATATTAAACAGTGATATTGCCTCAAAGCTTGTAAGAGAACAACGTAAAGCCTTGAGGGACCAGTTTGACATCATTCACTCCCCTCATATCAAAGTTCAAGGCATTTGAGAGACAGAACTAAACATCAAGACAAGCTTTAACTCTACTCTGGTCAATACAAAACGCATTTAATGAATTGTTGTCTAAAACTGTTAGACAAGAGGGACAAGTAATTTAGTGTTACATGCAACAGATGTTACTCATACCACAGAACTCTATACATAAAAGCAGTTTCCACCTACATCCTTGATACAAACCAGAAAATTACTTCAGTAGTAATTTAAATACTATTTTGTGAATTCAATCTAAAAATTCTATTTTTTCTACAGAACACCGCATGTTTCACAGTCAAGTTTATCCTCAGCAACTTAGTGTTTATAATCCACTTAGCCATACAACATAAGTGTCTCTCTGACATTCGTGTCCAAGAAAAAAAAAAATCCTAAAATTGGTTAAACTATTTCTTTAAATAAATGGGTACGCAGTTGGAATGCTTCATATTTAGAAGCTGACAAGGGCAAGAAGCAGCACAGCACCAATTACAGAAAGTAGCTGAACCTACACATTTTGGTGTCACAGAGTCTGAAACACAAGCATTTTACTTTTCCGAATCGCATCATCAACCTTCTATTGCATTGATTTAAGTTAACTGAAACAATACTGCTACCACTTCTCAGTCTAAAAACTAAAACAGGTCTCTTAATACTCTTGTATCTCCAGCAAGTTTGCTGGGAATTTTGTTTGTTTGTTCATTTTTAAAGCAAGGACACTTCTGCCTGCCAACTTCAACACAAAGTATTTGGTTTAAGATTTTAAGACAGAAGGCACTTTCAACATTCAGCCTTTGAATACTGAGTGCAGAAATAACATTTGCAATTTTGTTCCTTTGCTAAATCTGCAGTTTAATTTATTTTTTTTCCAATTAGTTATTAGAAAGAGCAATGATAGCACTATATCACATTTCATTTTCAAGA